ATTGGGGGTCCAGGATGGCTCCCCCAAGCCTGCTTTATTATATCTGTCTTATATCAGGGTAAGATTGGGCTCTGGTGCTTTAAGGAAGACTAGAAAGCTGACATCTAGTCCAGTTGGGGGTGGGGATAATACCTTACAGGGTCCCAGGTGAGAAGTGTGAGCCGGAGAAGGTGCCTGGAAGCTGCTCATGTTTCCCCATTCTGCTTCCTGAGTCTCACTCCCCTGTAGCATTTTCTTTGATTGAGCCTGGTGGAGTTGATTAGTCCAGATCAAGGAAGGGGGACCCTAAAGGAGGGGAAAGGGAGGGTGGGTGCAGGGGGAGGAGGAGGCCACCAGCCTCTACTCCACCTGCTTACCTGCCCCTGTCCCCCGACAGAGGGCTTCCCTGGAGGCCGCCATTGCTGATGCTGAGCAGCGTGGGGAGATGGCCATCAAGGATGCTCAGGCCAAGGTGGCCGAGCTGGAGGCCGCTCTGAGAACCGCCAAGCAGGACATGGCGCGGCAGCTGCGCGAGTACCAGGAGCTGATGAACGTCAAGCTGGCCCTGGACGTGGAGATCGCCACCTACCGCAAGCTGCTGGAGGGCGAGGAGAGCCGGTGGGTGTGGGGGGTCCTTTGACTGGCCCTGGTGCCCCATCCCCTGGGACCTGGGATGGGGAAAGGCAGGACTTGGGTCCTGTTGTCCTGGGACGGGGCCAGGCATTGGTCCTGACACCCCATGTGTCTTCTGGGTACAGGCTGGAATCTGGGATGCAGAACATGAGTATCCATACCAAGACCACCAGCGGCTACTCAGGTGAGTGTCCTGGTCCTGGGGTGCAGGGCAAGGCTTTTTACATAGCAGCTCCTACACAGTTCCCTCTGGTACAGCTGAGGAAGCTGGGGCCCAGTTAAAGTCCTATCCAACATCTCATAGCTAATAGCAAAGCTCTGTCCCACCCTGCTCCTGGTCTTCCTTGGAGGAGTGAAGCAGGACAGTTCCCCATCCCTGGGGGACCATGTAGGGAGTGGCAGGGGGAAGGGGGCATGGTGCCTGAGTTGTCCACAGGCTCCTGCGCTCACATGGCTGCCTCTGTCCCTGACCAGGTGGGCTGACCTATGGGGCCCCCTACGGCCTGAGCTCCCTGGGCTCCGTCGGGTCCGGCTCCTTCAGCCGCACCAGTTCCTCCAAGGCTGTGGTTGTGAAGAAGATTGAGACCCGCGATGGGAAGCTGGTGTCTGAGTCATCTGATGTCCTGTCCAAGTGAAAGTCTCCTGCAGAAGGAGCCATGCAGGGGGGGCACTGGCACGGGAGACCTGAGGTTCAGCCCGGGTCCTCAACCCATCCTTGGTGAGGGTTGACTTCTCAGGCTCCCCTCTCCTGCCCATGACCCCAATTAAAAGCCAATTCAAATGTCTTTTTCAGAATAAATCCAAATCAAGTATCTTTTTCAGAATAAAGCCCCAGCTGGCTCTGCCAACCCACATGCTGTGTGCAGCCCTTGTCTGTCCATGGGGTGGGAGAGAGGTGGTCAGGACTCCTCTCCCTGGGAATCAGAAGCTGGGGGCGGAGCTGGGAAGTGGCGGGACACCGAGGAAGAGTCTGGCCTCCTCCAGGCTGTTCCCAGAGAGACTTGTTTGCTGGAAGCCAGCTGATCTCAAATACGCCATTTCATTCTATCTGTGTAACAGATCCCATGAGGGAGGCAGAGCAGGGTTTTAGATGGTATATCCGGAGGGAGTTTAGTTTCTTTCCCCGCAGACCTCACAGGAGGTCGGCAGCAGGACTACCTACCTTACAGGAAAGCCAGGCCTATAGAGATCAAGAAATTGGCCTAACTAAAAAGCAGCAGACCTGGGATTCAAACCCAGGACTGTCTGCTTCTCAAGCCTGTACCCCCTCCTCAGCCAGGCACATGGTGTCTCCTCAGTGGCCAGAGATATCTTTGCACCATCTTCATTCCTTTGCAGCTGGGGACAGGAAGTCCTGGTTTTCCCATCCCTTCAGAGGCCCAGAGTCCATTCTCAGCAGTTGGGTGTGTCACACCCACAATTTCTAGAAGCCAAGAGAGTACAGGACTTGGCATTGATCAATGGCCTCTTCCCTGCTCCACTCACAGTCGCACCCACCCTGTGTGGCTCCTCCCCTCCCCTTCCTCCCCCTTCACATGCAGTGTTTATATCGGTATGTGCAGCCGAGTACTTGAGGGGCGTGTGTGTTCTGTTTGCACATGGAGGGCATGATGTGTGTATATGTGTATATGTTCTGTGAAGTGTGTAAAGGGGTTTTGCCTACTTGCTGAAACAGTCTGCAGTGTTTCGGGCAGGAGCAGAGCTGGGTGGAGCAGAGCATCCCTGGCTCTTGGCTCCACTGCCACCACCCATGGAGTTCCAGGCAGTCACGCTGGCCCCTTAGTGCTGGACTGAGTGTGGACAAGCCCTTAGCACATCTGAGGTGGGGCCTTGTCAGACTTTCCCAAACACCCAGGGAGAATAAACATCTATAGAGGGTTCAATAGTGGGGACAGCCTGGTCCTGGTAGGAAGCTCAGGTTCTGGTTCTGCTGGGGGGTGTCCCAGGGCTCCGGGGCCCATGTCACTGCCTCCCTAGCTGCCCACCTCAATGGAGCTGCTTCCAGACTGAGCCCAGGCCTTCTGCCTCCTCCACCCGCTCCATCCAACCCAATCCCCGGACCAGGGCCAGGGTTCTGGACTCTGTCAGAATAAAGGGCCTCACTCTTTGACGGTAAAACTTAACAGCACTGTTATTTAGCGCAGTGACTTTAACTTTTGCTGCAGCCCCTCTCAGTACGAAATTCATTTTTACCACGATCTGCATAGAATAATCCCAACCTTCTGCCCTCTGTTCCATGTGTGTGACCTGAGCCAGGAGGGTCGTGTTCAAGTTCAGAGCAGGCGCAGCACCCAGTGAAAGAGACCTCTTGCCCACTGAGGCCCCAAGTCAATATTTTCAACTCCACCCCACCCCATCTGGAAGCCAGTCACCTGTCTTATCGGGCCCTGCCTCCGGGCAGTGGGCACACGGAGGGCAGCCAAGGGCCCCAACAACGTTCTCCTGGAGCTTCCACGCCCTGGCTGTTGGCGCTAGGAAAGTCAGGAAAGCCCTAGGGACAGTTCCCTTTCCCTTCCTCCCTCCTTCCTTGCAGGTTACTGTGTATCTCCTTTGTGACTGAGGACATTCAACGTTCAGGTGACACCATCCCATTTACCTTTTGGTATTTAAACACGTAAATGAGCTGGACGTCAATTCTCATGTAGATGAGGACACCGAGGAGGGAGGAACGTGAACATTTCTTTAATACTGGTTTGATGGTAGAGCTTGTGCTTTGTCATATTCCAACCATCCCGATGATCCTGAGAGGCAGATGTTAAAATCCACACCTTAGGCTTGCAGATTTGGGGTAGAGTTTCACCATAAGGGATAGAAGTGGGGTCCTGCCATTTTGGCCAGTGCTTTTCTGACAATACTGGATTTTTGTCATATGTCCGTACATCACATGTAGCGCAGAGATTCTAACCTTTTTTCTGTTTTTGAATAGTTAGTAAGTGTTCCCTTGTATGCAATTCTAAAGTACAAAAGGGCCTCCTTCCTCACCAGTCACCTGGTTTCTTTCCCAGGGGGTGACTAATGTTACCTGTTTCTTGTAATTCATTCCAGGTACAGTTTCTATATACAGAATTCCTTCGGTACATACTCGTGTACAGGTAGACTTAGCTTATACAGAGTGTTACAGAGAAATGCAAATCAAAACTACAGTGAGGTCAGAATGGCCATCATTACGAAGTCCACAAACGGTAAATGCTGGAGAGTGTGGAGAAAAGGAACCCTCCTACACTGTTGGTGAGAATGTAGTTTGGTGTAGCCACTATGGAAAACAGTGTGGAGATCCCTTAAAAAACTAAAAATAGACATCATATGATCCAGCAATCCCATTCGTGGTCATATGGCTGGAAGGAACTCTAATTTGAAAAGATACATGCACTCCAATATTTATATAGCAGCACTATTTACAATAGTCAAGATGTGGAAACAACCTAAATGCCCATTGACAGATGAACGGATAAAGACATTGTGATATATATAATGGAATACTACCCAGCCATAAAAAAGAATAAAATAATGCCACTTGCAGCAACATGGATGGACCCGGAGACAGCCATACTAAGTGAAGTAAGCCAGAAAGAGAAAGAAAAATACCATATGATACCACTTATATGTGGAATCCAAAAAAAAAAAAAAGACACAATGAATTTATTTGCAAAACAGAGACTTGTAGACATAGAAAACTAACGGTTACAGTGGGAGCTTGGGGGAAAGAAGGTGGGAAGGGATAAACTGGGACTTTGAGATTTGCAGTACTAACTACTATATATACAAAATGGATAAACAAGTTTCTACTGTGTAGCACAGAGAACTATATTCAATATCTTGAAATCCATAATGAAAAAGAATATGGAAAGGAATATATGTATGTATATGTATGACTGAAACATTATGCTCTACCCCAGAAACTGATACATTGTAAACTGACTATACTTCAATTAAAAAAAAAGCATTATACTCTATATGGTATTATACGTCTTGCTTTGACATTCACTCAACACCTATTCCTTCTATGTCAACATATGACCTGTTGTCTCACTCTTTTTCATAGCAGTGTAATATTCCACTTATGCAGTTATCCATCACAATTTATTTAACCAGTCCTCAGCTGGTGGGTCTTCTCAATCTTCTGCTATGACAACAATGCTGCAGTTAATAACCATGGAGACATGTCATCTCACACACGGTGAGATATCTGAATAATTCCTGGAATTACTGAGTCCAAGTATATGTACATTTAAATTAGTGACAGACATTAACAAAATGGCTTGTTTTCTTTTTCTTTTTTTAAAAAATATTTATTTATTAAAATATATTTCCAGGGGAGGTAATTAGGTTTATTTATTATTATTATTATTATTATTATTATTATTATTATTATTATTATTATTATTATTATTATTATTATAGGAGGTACTGGGGATTGAACCCAGGCCTTATCCCTCACCTCCTTTCCCTCCAGCAATGAGAGGAAGAGTCTTCCAAGCATTTGTGACTACTGTTCACACGTTGTCACTCCAAGGTTTGCTCTGCCTGCCCACGCGAGATGATCTGGGCTACGACAGTCAGCGATCAACTTAGCAGAGGAGGTTCTAAAGTGGGCTCAGGATGAGGGCCAGACAGATGAGAGTGTCAGGGGTTGGGCAGGGAGGAGGCTGCTGGAGCAGGACCCAGTGAGGAGGGGCGTGGGGGGGGGGACCGGGACCAGTCGCGGTGAGAAGGTGCGGCCCTGGGCCAGCCATTGTGCTGCCTCTTCACAGATCTCACTGGTGGGAGTGGCTTTGTTGGTCCAGCGTCCCTTCCGCTTCCGGTAACAGAACACTCCCCCTCCCCCTCCCTCCACGTCCCCCTTCTTTCAGGAACTGTTCTTCCTGCTCCAACCCCACAGTCCTGGTGGGTCTGCTGGTCACAACACCTCTTCTCTGGGGCCACAATGGGGCTGGGAGCTGGCCTTGGCCAGTCACAGGCCCCTTTGTTCTGTTTTTTTGCTTCTTTTCTTTTTTAATTTTAATTTTTTTTGTCATTTTTTATACAATTTAAAAAAGTTACACTCCATTTACAATTATTACAGAACATTGGCTCTACTCCATGTGCTGTATAATACATCCCTGTAGCCTCTCTTACACACAGTAGTTTGTGCCTCCCACTCTCCCACCCTCCCACCCCAGATTGCCCCCTCCATTGGTGATCACCAGTTTGTTCTCTATATCTGTGAATCTGCTTCTTTTTTGTTCTACTCCTAGTTTGTTGTATATTTTTAGATTCCACATATAAGTGATATCATACACTATTTGTCTGACTTATTTCACTTAGAATAATGCCCTCCAGGTCCATCCACGTTGCTGCAAACGGCACAATTTCGCTCCTTTTTATAGGCCCCTTTGTTCTTTTCTTGCTGAGGTATAATATAAATGCAATAAAATGCAAAAAGGGCTGGGCGGATTTCTATTTCTGTTCACCCCTGGAATATAGTACACTTCCTGCATCACAGAAGATTCCTTTGGGCCCCTTGCCAAAGAGAGCTTTTAAAAATGCAAATCACATTCAGTGACTCTCCTACTTAAAGTTCCTAATGAGGCCCAAGGATGAGGCCCCAAGCCTTGCCTTGGCCCAGAGCCTGGCCAGGCTCAGACTTGCCTGCCCCAGGCCTCCCTGACCACCTCTCCTGCACTCCCTCGGCCTCAGGGTATGGCTCTGTGGCGCTCACATCATGTTCCTTCCTGCGCAGGGCCTCGGCACATGCTGTTCTCTGCTTAGAACACGATGCCTTCTCTCGGCAAGCTTAGGAGCTTTCTAATCATTCTGCAGAGTGCAGCTCTAATGCAGCTTCTGCAGGAAAGCTTCTGGACTCCACAGGCCAGGT